TGGATGATATAACCCAACCGCTGAAGCAATATCCCTTCTATCCGCTTGTCGAGGTCAGCTACCCAGTGTTCAAGATTAGCGTATCCTTCCAGATTCAGGCGATCAATCTGCATACACTTAGCACATAGACCATAATGACGAAGAGGAACCCACAGCAGCTTGAATCTTGCCCAGAAGATCTGAAAATGCCTCGCTAGTATAAGAATGCCTCGCTAGTATAAGGGCATGTTGCGAGATCCTCGACTGCTCGAAGAATGTTGCGATAAAGGTCAATCACGTTGTTGGTCTTATCTTGTAGGATAGACACAACACTCGCAAATTCCCGCACGAATTGGATATGTCGGTTCTCGCGTCCATCGGCACTGCTTACGTACCGCGCGGTATCGTACTGGTTGACAAAGTAATCCCACTTGATGTTCATACCTGGACAAAAAATGTCAGGTCGCCGATGTGTCAACGGTTCGAATCTGATCACCTTTGGCAACCATCCGCTGAGCCTCATTCCGATATTCAGCAACCAACCACTCTATGCCCATGTTATTCTCCACCAGATCCAGAGTTTGCCCATAGGTTCTGACAGTCTCCATAAGACTGACAGCATGAGGGTATACTCGCTTCGCATCCTTCGCCATGTTCGTGATCGCGTGTGGGACCTGGAAGTTTAGCCATAGCAAATTACGAACCTCCTTGAAAAGTGTGATTATTTGGGGGTCGAAGTTTACCGCTAGTTGGAACCCTCCTCCCCGTAATCTCACGATCTCAAAGAGGCGGCCATTGACACCCATGTCGCGTCGGTTGATGTCTTGCATCCAGGCGTCATACACTGGCCGTGTCTCTAGCTTCTTCCTGAATGCGGTGCTTTCTGACTGAAGCTTCTGACCCTCTGCATAGAGCTCCCAGCCCTTGCCAAGCACATCCTCCACTCGTTTCATGTAGGTGAGTAATTGTCGCTCAATTTGTCGAGCCCAGATGATGGCACCTGCTATTGGAGGGAGGTCGCGCATTTGCGACATGTGATAGGCTTCAGATAACCGATATTGCGTTTTGAACTTGATAGTCATTATGAGTAACGGAGACAATACAAGAGTGTGCTGCCTACCTTATCGTGAAGGCGCTTGATATCCTCTTTTACTGAGTCGATGAGTTGAGTTTGATACTCTTGGATAGCTCCACGAATCTGTGGGATACGGGCTTAGACATGTGTTACACCGTCCCACGAAATGAACTACCTTTGGGCGAACGAAAAGTGCATTGAACTTAGAGAATACTCTGAACATTTCATTCGCATTTCTTGCCGTGCCTAGCCTGTCGCGTAGCCGTGCAATGATTTGGTTCTCAACCCTTGCAACCCGTTCGTTGTATGCGTTCTCAGCAGCCACCCAGATCTCCGTGCCCTCTGCAAAGAGAGTGAGGTGACTTCAACAGCGACATATCAAAGTCAGATACTCACCAACAGAAACATCGAGAACATCGATGCGTTTCACCACCTCATACGCCTCCTTCACTTCTTCCTCCATGTCCATTCCGCCCACCTCCTTAGCCATGCTCCCCAAACCCTTCGTGGGCCCGGTCATCACCGCCAGCTGCTCGTGCTGCTTCCTCCAGTCACGCAGATACCTCGTCCGCTCCTGTAGTTTCGCGTGTGCAGCAACAACTTTGATGGGGACAAACTTCTCTCCACGTTTGCGCATAACCTCGCGAGCGACATTTGTGAACTCCTTGATAAGATCATCCCACGTCCGGAAGATGTTCATGGTCTGTCCGAGTAGGCGGTCAAAGGTCTCGTACGGAGTATACGACAGCCTATGCGACGTCAGCACGCGCAATAGCTGGTCGTTGAAATCACGAGAAATTGCCTCAACGAGGGGTAGTGCCCGACGGATTGGGTAGGGCGAGAGCTTGAGCTTGCGATTGATGTGTCCAAAGATGAGTACCAGTGATTCTTGGATTTTTTCAAGATCTGTCGCAGATAACAGCTCATTGAGAGGGAAATCTTTCATCAATTGGTTGTATTTGTGCACTGATGATACTCGTCAGCATCCAACTGACAATGCCAGAAACAACGCGCACCAAGATCCGTAGAAGATTTCAGGCCAGTATCCGTCATGAAACTGACTGTTGCGAGATATCGCTTCGCGTTTCGGAGACATTCCATGACCATGGTCACTTCATCGCTGCGTAGCTGCGCCTCAATACCCTCCAGTGCCCGCTCAAGACTCAGCCAAAAGTTGATTTCTTGCGAAGCAGTACCAGAGGAAACGTCGCGCGAAAGCTTAGTGACTGCTTGAATAGCCTTGATCCACATGTTGACGTGTCCGTGTAAAGTGTTGAGGAATGAACTTTCGTTTAGGAGCTTTTGAGGTATGTGTGATATGTTTGGACGTGCGCCTGAAGCATGAGCCTAATGTGATCGTCTTCAGCCTTCGGAAAACTGATGTCACTGAGAAACCGACCTGTTCTACAGCGCGCTGGATGGCTGGATGAATGATCAAATGCGTCTCAGGTATTTCCACGTTCTGTTGAAGGTGCAATAATGACAATTCCAGTTCGGCAAACTTCTTCTTGGTCATGGGTATCCCTATAAACACAAGTGAGTGAAGCCAAAGCAATAAAGTTGAGACATACCCATTTTACTATCCCCATCCTTGCCCCCACCCCGTGCTCCGACAAAAGCATCAAACCAGGGCTTAACACCACAGCTCACGACGGCATGTAGACTCTCGTACGGCGTTTCTTCGCCTCCAAACAAATTGAGGATATGTAGTTGCGTGGCAAGAGGTGTCAGAGGATCCAGGGTAGGACCACGTTTGATGAGTGCAAGTGATGTAACACTCGTAGAAGAATAGGTCAGATGCGAAGTTAGGTGGTATGAATAAGTCTGCGGCGCGTCCTCTAGTACACGTCAGGTTAGGTTTTAAACTGGATGCAAAAGCTCACCCTCTGCTTCGTCCCTCGTTTTCACCACGTAAATCACGCCTCCGCCCTCTGCCGCAAAGCGAGTGACCCTCTCGTCGAATTCTTCATCAAACATGCTTACAAAGTCCTCGGGTAGAGCGCCAAGTACCGGTGGCAAGAGCGACACGAGATATGACCTAAAGAGTGAGGTGTCAAAGGGAGGAGGTGTATCTACAGGGCTGTCATGTGGGAGGGCACCGTTTGAATTCGTCAGAGGGGTTGTGGGGACATCTGGAGTGGACATGGCGGGTGATTCAGGACGATCCAGCGGTTCAATAGACGAGACAGAAGCAGATGAAGAATTTGAAAACCTTGGTGTTGAAAAGCCTATTCCTTTCCAAAACCCGGTAGCAGCACCTGCCAAGCGTCTCGGGATAGCTTTCCGGTGGCTTGTGTAGTAAACCTGACCAAGAGCGTTGTCAGTACCCATTTTTTGGATGAAAGATACGCATATGTTGTAGAAGGGTTTCATTACCTTGATCTGCCACGTTCCACAAGAACGAGGCGCGAGCGCGTGAGCTGGTATGTACTTAGCTGCTGAGACACCCAGTCGCGTTTCGAGAGACAACTCCAATTTCACACTCCGACGGCAGAAAAGTTAATTAACTTTACCACCTCGGCGAGGACGACGACGACGACAATATTAACGCATATAACACGATTATGAAGAAGGTATAAGAAGAAAACAGTCATAACTAAACGGTCTAGCTATGGAATGGAATATGCCTTGTTGTGGATTCGTGGTGACGGGATACACCCAGCTGACCATCGGATATCAGCATCTTCAAATTCTCAACTAAACATCCATGTCACGCACTCGAGTGCGGCTCCGAGTCTTTCTCCGACATTTTTAAAAGGTGGGAGATATAGAGTCTTCAGTTGAAAATTTCAATTCAAACTTCAGAATGATGGCGTAGAGATCGTGTACAATTCCCAGTCAAATCTCATTTTGCTGAGTGCAATCATGAATAGCAAACATGCTTCAGTGAGCATCCCAGACTATCCTTGCGCTTCGACAACGTGACACGGACTGAATCCTCATTCTGTACAGCGTCAGAAACACACTACCGCAACTCCATAGACACTATTGGATGAGCAGACAACTTCATTGACGATGAAGGCAAATATGTGCATAGGACCTACAACCTCTTCCTGATGGTGCTCGCACTTTTCCGACGGTCATCATAGCAGGTAAAGTTTCGTGCAGTACTTTTTCAGTCCAGCAGGAAAATGGCTTTGACATGGATGTCTCGATATGTCACCGGCCGAATATGCTCGCTCGCTGTTACTATCCCGAAGGTCATCTGCGTTTCACTGAAACTTTCTTACCTGCTGCCAGCAAGCACGTCGTCATTCAGGACACCGCAAAGTATCACAGGAGATTACTGCATTGTGACCGTCAAAGACATTGCATTGGGACCTTCGGACACGCTTATTACTAAGTACTGACGACAGGTCCGGCAGTATCCTTATCTGATACGCGAAGGAACCACAACGTCAGTATCGGCTTGCTCCCTTATTCCTCATCTAATATATTTAAGGACGGAACGTTCGATCTAGCTCCCTCGAACCTGTCATTTCAACAAATGAATGAATCCAGTCACTAGTGAAAACACTGCGCTTTCTACAAAAGGACAATAGTTTACCAAAGGTGTTGGGATGGAAATACGACCACCTCGGTTATCCCTCAAAGGGAGAGCTGCATAACGTGGCTGCGGGAAGAAGCATAGCTGATATAGCTACAGTTGTTGCCAAGAAATGACCTATTTTGGTTTTAGAACACACATTTGCAGCTGCCGCCTCGCAGTACAACTGATAACTGTATCCAATAAAAATGTTGGACACTGCCTCGAACGAACGGTACGCCCATGACACAGTAAAGAGGAGGAATATGTGCAGAAACATAGAAACGCACATCCTCAGATCATTTCCTCTCATAATCTCTCGAAAGGCCAATCTCTTCCTTCAAATGTGTATTCGTGATCTTCGCTTGTCTCTGTCGCGGTGCCGAGCATTTCCCTTCTTTACATTTGACGGCGCCTTCGGGATCGGTATCCCTTCTGCAGTAGCCTGAAGCCCCTCTGGATCGTACCTATCAGACACCAAACAAGAAGAGATACTTCAAAACACGTACCAGTATGCAAGCGCCTTCAACAAATCAACATCATTCGGCACCTTCAACGAATGCCACGAATCAAAGAATTCTGTTCAAAACAAAGTGAGCACGCTGTATCCCACACTACCAAACTCACCTTTCTCAACATGCTTCCCCGCAGTCTCATCGCCCGGCTTGATCTCATTCCAAAACACCACCCGCAACTGACCATCCTTCACAATCCTCGTGACGAGCACCTCTCCCTCCTTCAGCTCCTCAATAGCTTGCGGTGCCTCCTTCCAAAACTCCTTAAGTGCACACATGTCACAGGTGTTCCTCAAAGTGGCGGGTTTCACGTGACTTATCTCGTGATCATACGCTTCACTAGCAAGGACTCTGACTACCATTATACAATGTACAATGTCTCCATCAACACAAGTAACTGATCATCAACCGGAGAGTAGCGGGGTCTTGCTTTGTGTCGTAATGCACAGACGATCTCCATTTGGAAGAGTAGCCGATCCGATCCGTTCATATATTGATAAGCTCGAGACTTTTCTGACTCGGAACCGACGTTGATCGAGTCATTATTCTTGTCATATCTTCATAGTCATGCTGTGAGTGTACTTATATGATCTCGCATATTTTCCTTTGGTCACAATAGCTATGGGTGACAGAAACAGCGTCACTTCTCCAGCCCCAGGCCAAACGGGAGAGTCTCCCAACCCGGGAAGCCCTGCTGCACTCGATGTGAGTGTCGCCTGCTGAACGTAGTCATGTGTAACTCCAACGCTGTTGCAGGCATCCAAGCTTAAGATCACGCTCGCACCGACATTGAAGCCCCTGCAGCCCATCGAGACATTATGTTTCGGCCAGGTGAGCAAGTACTTCTGACAATCATATTCATGTCGCTCAACGATAATGATACCAGACATTCTCGGACCACATGGTTGTTGCAACTCATGACCCTGAAAAAGGGTGGTCCGCGCCTGAGGTCAAGCCCTATGGGCCCATTACACTTGATCCTCAGTGCTCTTGCTTTCAGTACGGCGGAAATATCTTTGAGGGTATGAAGGCTTATCTTGGGCCTGACGATAAGATACGCTTGTTCCGCCCAGATATGAACATGCGTCGACTGGAGAGGTCTTGTGCACGTCTCGCTCTTCCCGTGAGTACTGTGACGTTCATGCAAGGAGTGTCTCTGACTTCGTTGCCCCATGCAGACCATCGACGGGGATGCTGTTTTAGAACTCATAAAGTGTCTGGTGAATCTTGATAGGCGCTGGATACCCAAAGAATCGGGATACAGTTTGTATATCCGTCCTACCGTCATTGGAACCAGTCCAGGTTCGTGGAATAGGTTGATAATGTATAAGTATTCACCTAATTGGCATATAGGTCTGGGACTGACGGCGTCTGACCATGCGATGCTTTACGTCATTGCATCGCCAACTGGGCCATACTTTGCGAAGCCTATTTATCTTCTTGCAGTCAGTGAAAATGTGCGCGCGTGGCCAGGTGGAACTGGAGGACACAAAGTTGCTGGCAACTACTCACCCGGCTTCCTGCCCCAACGCACTGCTGCAGAGAAAGGCTATGATCAAATTCTTTGGCTGTTTGGTGATGACAGAAGAGTCACAGAGGCTGGAGCGATGAACTTCTTCGTTGTAGTCAAGAGGGATGATGAGGACGGTGAGTTTGAATTGAACATGGTCTTATATATAAATGAACTCATTGGTTGAAGGCGTGGACCTTATCACCGCCCCTCTGGACGGTACTATTCTACCTGGAGTGACTAGAGCATCATGTCTTGCCCTTGCGGGCGATCCAGAATTCCACAAAGAAATTTCAATCCGCTTACACCCACAAGAAACGGTGTATACCATGAGTGACCTCGCCAAATGGTCGTCGGAGGGCAAACTGCTTGAAGCATTAGCCATAGGCACGGCGGCCATTGTTGGCCATTGCGATAGAATTGGGTATGAGGGTAAGGACATTGTAATTCCTGGAGATGGGATGGGTCCAGTTGGCACGGCAATCCGGAAAAAGATTCTTGATATCCAGGAGGGTAGAACAGAGTGGAAAGGATGGGGCGTGGTCTGCGATTAGTGATATGTTGCCACAATACCTACGATATTGGTGCTCGTACCATGAGCAAACAAGACATAGGGTCTTCTATACCTTCACTTGATGTATTATTAATGTATCTGCATAGTGCACTGGTACACGTATGTGTTTGGTAGGCTGCATGAGGAAATACAGCGTGATGATCGGAAAAGTCGGGATATTCTCTCCTTCCATGCACACATTAACGATTACAAGGAGGCTGACAGCCCAATTCACGAGATATGGACAAATCATCATATTCTCTGAGTGTGGTACAGGTCGGTGATTGCTAAGGCAGAGCGGAATGACATCGGTAGAAACTTGACATTGCCCAACAGCAGCTTTGTCATTAGTCGGACGAGGAATCTGAGCTTGTCTCGTGAGGTGCAATGGAATCACAACGTCAGTATCGAAGACGCTTAATAGGGGTCGGTGCACGTGCTCAAAGTGGCTCGCGGTTTTCACATGACTTGTTTCGTAATGCAACCACACGCTTCACTAGCAAGTACTCTGACTACCATTGTACTATGTACAACGTCTCCATCAACACATGTAACTGATCATCAACTGGCCCCACAGTACCTCAAAAATCGTCTGAATCTTGACTCATCTATTGAATCCTCATTACTCGATATCTAACACAGGATGAACCCAATGCGGCGATCCTTGAAGCGAGCTTTGACGTACATTATCTACCATGTACAATAACTTCGTCACTATGGTCATTTCCCCCACTCAGAGCACGAGGACTTTTACCTTGTCCAGGAAACATACTTAAGCTGGACCCGCTCAGGCAGTATGACACTCATCATCTAGATTCTGCTTCCTGTCTGCCATCCATCCCAACTTGAAATCTATCCACCAATACTCATTTTTGTAGTCACCCATACCATCCTCCAATGGCTTGTAATCTCGCAAATATCCATGTACCTGAGCTGACGGGAAGAGTCGTGACCACCGACAATCGCGCATCCGGCAGTGGAAACTTCGCAGACGTTCGGAAGGGAATCTACACCCAGCAAGGTCATAGTAATACCGTACGCGCTACTCCGTCACTGTGCCACGTATAACGTACTCATATTCACTCGTCGATATAGGTAGCTGTGAAGATATTGAGACCACCACTTCTGTCAGACATGCGTCTTGCGAGGAAAACCATACGGGTACGTAGATTGTTTATTCATGGGTCATCCTTTTTACTTAGTCTGCCTTCGGAAAATTTTACGAGAGGCAAAAGCTTGGAGTACGCTGAATCATCCCAACGTGGTTGGATTCATCGGTGTGTGCTATCAAGATATGCGATGTGGTACCCCCAAGTAGCATGTGGTTAATGCTGACGGCCTGCTGGGGATGCGACTGGCTGTATCCGAATTGAGAACATCTATCCTGGTTTGCAGTAAGCTACATGGTGAAACTTTGTAGATCATACAGAACGTCCTTTACACTACATATAATTAACATATACATAAGATTATATATTGTGGATTATTATAAGCACGGAGCGTTTGATCTCGCGGAACCAATTCGTGTCTACCTGAGCTTGCCGGTCTGTGTTAAGTTTGCGCAGACTCCGCCCCAAAGTCGGGGGCCCGGGGACATCATTATCTGGGTGTATTCTGTTGTCTGTTCTGACATCATCTCGTCAGCCACCCCGCTGCGATCTTCCTGTATGTATGTATATAAGGTCGAATTAACCAATAGGGCACTACAACTTCTGTGAATCAGAAGTTTAGAATGTCTAACGACCCCCCATCTCCCGTATCCTCACCACTTTCTTATCTCGAGCTCGTCAAGATATGCGACAATTTTCGCCTACCACCTAACTTTGGCTCTACTGATGTCTTTCAAAAGCCTTCCGACACAGACTCTTTCGTACCCTGGACACTATCGCAATCTCCAGGGAGTCCTGCTGTTGGGCTCTTGAGGCTTGACATAGTAGATCTCCTTCGAAAGGAGAAACCTGGGACATGGATCATTCCAGAACCTCAGGCCGGGTACCGTGTCAGCTTTGATGCGTCAGTCAATACCCCGAGAAAGCGCACTGCAGTGCTGAAAGAACTCTCTGAGCGCTGGCGCGACACTGGTGGGTTCCCTGCGAGCATCGGACCCCGAAAATGGCGAAACGAGATGTTCCCTGTGTACCGGAATCCCTTTGGAGTGCACGAGTACTATCCTGAGAATGATTCCGATGAGGGAGAAGGAAACTACGCCTTTCAGATGGAGCGTGCTGCGTGTGCTCTTTTTGGTGTCATAACCTATGGGATACATATGACTGTCTATCAAGGGATAGCTAGCAGCCCACAAGTGAAGATCTGGGTTCCGACGCGGGCGAAGACGAAGCAAACGTGTGTTTGATTGATTTATATTCATAAAGTACATAGCTGAATGGCCACGTCAGGTGGCCGAGCTGGTTGGATAATAGTGTTGCTGGCGGGATACCCAGTGGCATGCCTGTTTTCGAGAGCCTCGCCAAGGAATGTGAGGAGGAGGCCAGTATGGAAGCAGACATTGCGAGGAAACATGCGAAACCTGTCGGAGCAATCAGTTATTTCTTCAGGTATTGCTCTGCAAGGTTTTGGGGTGAATTACAAAGTATAACCATGAGATAATTGCAGGAACAGAATGCACTTCTTGCAACCAGAGATCAAGTAAGTGCTGTCTGATTCTGTGCGCGAGGATCTCAACAACACGCTCTCCAGATACGTTTACGATCTTGGGGTACCACATGATACTCCATTCCAGCCCCGTCCATTAGACGGCGAGGTGGAGTCTTTTGATGTACGTATATCTGTGTGTGTCTTGACCATGCCAAACGATCTCATGGAATACTAGTTGCTATCGCTGGATGAAGTAAAATCAAAGTTGAGGCAGGGAATCTTCAAGCCCAATTGCGCTGCCGGTAAATACTAATACAAATGGCCTACAAAATCTTCATTAAATTATTGACGCCATAGTCCTCATCGACTTCTTTGTCCGACACGGCCACTTGACACCCGATGACGAGCCCGATTATATGGAGATCGTCTCAAGATTACATGGGAGATTGGAATATGAAAGATGGTGCCCACAAGTATGATAGGCAAACGTTCGTTGCACCATTACAACAACTACGACATATAGAATTCGCGCGCTGTAAATTAGTGATTAGATGCCAATGTGTGGAGAGTCTCCGAAGACAATGAAGTTCAAGATCTACAGACCTCTATCGATAGTTGATCGGTGGAACCGTAAATGGACATGGCTAGTACTTTCAATTCATCGACATATTTATTTTTGGCACAAACGTCGGCGACCAACCGTCGAGACTGCGCAAGGAGCATGTTATCTTTCTTCTTACTCTTCAGGGCCATTGGTTGCAACTACGAGCCAGACTTGACTGCTGTCGCAGAAAACCCAGATACCTAGTAGGTTATATCACACGGACTTTTGACGGGCTTTACGAATATTAATGTTATAGTTTTGGTTTTATGTCTAGTGAATCATGTCGGGATATCTGGCGAAAGCACGAAGGCCATGATAGACGGCCCGGGGAGCACCGGGCCCGTGTGACACTATTACTATCAACATTCTTCTTGCCTTGTTCTCCGTCAACGTGCAAAGTGCTTGCCTATCCGGAAGACCCATATCACAAGACAGCAGAAGCGTTTGCAACTAGGAGGGTCTCATCCAGGGCAACGAGTTCATGAGCAATCTGGCTGACAGACTCAAAATATGAATCCAACGTCGAGGACCTGTAGACATACCAAGGAACGTAACGTATTGTGCTGTGTGCCACTAACGCGGGTGCAGGGCACAGTGCCCTTGTGCCATGCCGGGTGTAAATTGACCAGCTCAGCCCAGACTAGTTTACCTCGTTGCCTGCACAGTTTTGGAAGACGTATAATTTATAACGTATACCCTGAGAGTCCGATTCCTGTGCACACTGGCAATTATTGGTACACATTCTTCAGGGAGCATCCGAAGGTGCACAGTCCACCCAACGCCTTGATATGTGAGCTCGCAGGTATTGCGGGCAATGACATAGACATGACCGGGAACCTGCTGGCGATAAAACATGTTCGAGAAAACAAGGGTTGTCGATTGCATAGAGGAAGACATTCCATACATTAACGGTCTCATCCAAAGATGAGTCGTCCTGCGATCAAGTAAAACATAGCTGACCATACATTGGAGGTGGCGGCCGGTCCCAGTTCTGGACTGAAGGATTGCTTCGAAGCGCAAGGTAGGTTGGGTGATCATTGATCAGGTAGATAACATGTCGCGCAACATGTAACAATTTATGGTCCGACGAGCCCCGAATTTGTCTAGTTAGTCTCTCTTTTTTTCTTTACGAGTCCTCGACTATTCGCACCTGCTTGGTGTTCGTGTTCATTCACTAGAGCTGCACAATTACGTCCATCCTACAATTCCACACCACAGTCTTGATGAACCACGTCACCGCACGATTCATCGCGCGTGCTTGTAGTCGTTAAGATCGAAATAGCAACATAGCTGATTTTGTGCTCGTAGCCGGCCGGAAGACGGGCTTCATGCGCACGCACATGGTTGATACAGTGCTATGGATTGGACAATGCCTGAGTTTTAACAACGGATGCGGTCACACCGTGTTCTGTGTGTTTACGAGCACGGTGTATGGCAGCCTCGAAGACATGCCACAGGGCAAGAATCTACTTGAGCTTAGTGCGGCAGAGTTCGCCACGACGTACGTGCGCGGAACGAGACGCCCATTTGCTCGACTGGGTGCCGTACCGGAGGATCGATAACCGGTGCGCGCCATGCGGATGTGCGTACTTCGATGTGAAGCTGGACGATAATGGAAAGTTCGATCCGGAATTTATCGCGGGAACAGTGCGCGCGCAGAAATGCCCAAACTCAGGTAGGAATGGGCGAGTGTAAGGCCTGGGTAGTAGGACATTGGTACATTGACGGAGTGATCGGTGCACATGTTACGTTGCTCATACCTTTGCTGCAATATTTTTAGAGCTTCGTGGTATAGATATGATTCAAGATCTTCATTAGCAACATGGCAAAGAATATGCACAGGTAAATGTACTTTTGCCACCTTGAAAATCCTGCGCACACTGCGTTGAGCCCTGGCAAACACGAGGTGAATCAACTTACGTGTCCTGATAATATTGCACGATGCATGACTCGAGGCAACATGCCACGGGGATCATTAGCGCACGTCTAAATGCAGATGAACTCAAATATACATGAATATGTAACACCCCATTGTATCGTCTCGCTCGCAGCTTCGATATCACGAAACGCAAGGTAATACAACACGACTATGAGGGTGATTTGACATATGGCTACATGGTGGTACTTCCATTCAACGTGATATCCTGTGTATCGTAGCCGCACAATATAAACCGTCAGCACTTAGCCATGCATGCATGTTATATCAGAGAAAGTCACAGCACTACATCACAGAATCAGTTCTACCATGATATTGACGGACATGAATAGATGTGCACAGCACTTAATGCTTGAACAGACCCTGCACCTTATTAGATGCCGGACAAAGGCACTCCCGTGTGAGGCTGACAAGTACATCACGAGAACCACAAAACGCATCCAACACGCACGCGCCTTGGCTCGTGAACAACATGTGCCCATCCGCGTGGCGCATTGTACATATACCATGACCTTTCGCCCCCAACGCCCATGAATTTTGAATCTATAGCTGTCGATTCCCATTCCCAGCACATGAGAAGATTCGCCAATCCCGAAAGGCGAGAAGACGCACCTTCAGACCCTACCGCACCGCCTCAGGTGGTTGAACCGCAGCAACAGCAACCTCAGCAGCAACCATCACCAAGTGCGAGCCACCCAGAAATGAGTGATGAAAGACCGCTGACAGACCATCATCCCACAGATGTCCCACCAAAAGATGTTTCTTCACGGCCCGATGATACCAGCAGACAGCTTTCATCGGCCGCGCTCACTCCAGAAGACCGCGAGTACAGCCGCTCGAGGCAGCGCCAAGCCGGTGCAGAAGACAAGGGTAAACAACGTGCACCAGCAGAACTCCTCTCTGAGGACCGCGCTAGGCTGAGCCCAAACCCAGTAGATGACCGCGGAAAACAACGCGCACAAGCAGAGCTCCTCTCTGAGGACCGCGCCAGGCGGAGCCCGAACCCAGCAATAGATGACCGCGGAAAACAACGTGCACAAGCCGAGTTCCTCTCTGAGGACCGCGCCAGGCGAAGCCCAAACCCAGCAGTAAATGACCGCGGAACACAACGTGCACAAGCAGAGCTCCTCTCTGAGGACCGCGCCAGGCGGAGCCCGAATCCAGCAGTAGATGACCGCGACCGCATGAGACAGCGCCCACCCGGCGCAGAAGACCGCAACAGACAACGCACCCCCGCTGAAGTCCAGCAAGCCCCACAATACAATGAGCGTTCTCCTCTCTTCACACCCCCTCAGTCGGTGCGCGGATATGCGGGCCCAAGCCGCGGGCACGACGCATTCAGTCACCGCCAGCACTCGCCTGCCGACTCAGATGACATCGTCATGGTAGATAATCGCACAGAGTCCCAACCCAAACCAGGCCTCTGGGCGCGCCTCACAGGTGTTGCAAAAGAGAGAAGCGAGACAGAGCCCACGAACACACGCACGCGCGGCCGACTTCCTCCACAGCCCTCCCGCCCCAATGTCGTGCTCTTCGGCGAACGAGGAGCGGGCAAAAGCTCACTCATCAACATGCTTGTCGGCCATGATGTATCATCTCCATCCAACCCAGACCTCGCACCGTTTGCGAGTAGGGGGTACGCTGTCGATGTGGGCGGACGGGAGGTAGTAGTGTGGGACTCGGTGGGGCTGCAGAAGGGAGAACATCACGATACGCTGTCCGAGGGTGCTACGAGGAACCTGCAGGGGTTGATACAAAACATTCATAGCGGCCTCAACCTCCTTCTGTTTTGTGTCAACGCCGCGCGCGTAAGTGAGGCTCTAGGAATCAATTACGATGCATTTTATAGCATTATCGGAGGCAAGAAGGTGCCTATCGTGCTCATCGTGACAGGTCTGGAGGACAAGGATCCGATGGAGGGGTGGTGGAAGGAGAACGAAGCTGAGTTTAAGAGGCATGGGCTGACGTTCGATGGGCACGCCTGCATCACCACTACAAGAGGGAAACCACTCAGGGATGGTCCTGGGCACCGGCACGACGAGCAATACGAGCAGTCCAAGCTGGCTGTTAAAGAGCTGATCAAGGCGAAACTTGGTGCGGCCGTCATCATCCGGGAGGAAGGGAAGTTGGCGGAGTTGAGGGAGCTCTTGCGAGAGCAAAATGTGAACGCGACGGGCCAAAACACAGATAAAGGAAAGAATGGGTGGAGTCTAGGGAAAACGGGGGGCACCCGAGAAGTACATAATGGCTACGGAAGCACACATGACGAGCAGTGGGACAACAACGGGACGGACAGAATAGAACGAGAGGGAAGGACTGCCGCGTTAGCATTACTCGGGGGGTTGTTTGCCGTATTTATCTGCCTACATTCAGGTATCGTCAGTTGTGTTTGATTTACGAGATATGGACGAGCATATGGCAATCATACATTATACCCTTCGCAGGCGCAAGAAAGACTGATCCTTGACGAACCTGAAAAAGTTCAGTTGCAAAGTCCGCTCCATCTGAGAAATAAAAATTGTGCAGCAATTGGACGTTGGTAAAGTAATACACACTTTGCATCTATGAGATCGTCTTGAATATGAGCGTAGTCGAACGTTTGAGCAGCGCGTTTGGTGTTCGGGAGGAAGCGGAAACAAAATAATGACTCATCACACAATGACCTCTTGCACTGACTTGATGTCTGTACCTTTGAGCTTTGATTCCTGTCTTATCACTAGTACTGCTGCAGGCGTGCCATGCACATATGCTCTTATGAAAATTCGCAATACAGCACCCTTCAAAGATCATGGAACTTTCCCTTCTTCAACTTCGATTTGTGCCCTCAAATCTCTCAGAGTATGACCACAACCTGATTCTCGCATGCGTTTTCCAAATTCGAAACCCTCAATCATGGCCCAAACGTCGATCCACTTATTGAAAATATCTTGGCTGCATTCATGTAATCAGTTCAAAAACCCTGCTACGTCCTACAGGCAGGTCTCTACCACATACCAACCACATCGACTGGGGATTTACCCCTCCCTGTCTCGAAGTCGCCATCACCTCCACAACCTAACATCAAGCAGCAGATGCTCTACTCCTGTACTATCGCTGGTGCTGGTCCCTGCATGCCCCTTTCTGAGTGTGTTGGCGCAACTGTTTTGGAACCACACTGACAAGCCATTTTATATTTGTTGTGCGATACCCAGATGTTAGTACCCTGGATATATTCAGTTTCCCCTGTTCGATATCCTCAGCAGCACTCCGCATGGTGGCGAGGCGCCGTCTGAACTCTCTGAAGTACGCTCGTACCGCTCAAAAAGCTTTGGCAGCTCAACAAAGCCACATTAACAACTGTTCTATCTGTTCCGATTATCCCGAGAATTTTCCATCCTACCCCGCACTGGACTCTTTGGCCCACCTTCACCGGCACCTGCCAGACGCATCTCCTCCGCTTTTTGGAATACTTGAATTAACCGAAGCAATGTCGAAGTACATGAGGAGGGTGTCGAGGGCCTTGCCGCATGATCAACAAAGCCCGCAATCACCACTGTACCAGGGTGGTCTGGTGCAGGTCGTCGGGTGTGCTGGGGGTCCTGGCACAGTAGCAGGAGTCCTGGCCCGTAGTCAGTAGTTCTGCGTTTGTGTTGTAGTCAGTCCCGGATAGAGAGAGCCGCAGCCTCCCGCTATGGAGGTCTGGCCTTGGTTCCCCTTCCAATCCGTCCCGTTACACCACTCCGCCTATCCAGTGGTCTGTATCAGACGTTCACAATTCATTCATTTGCTACACCATGCCATTATTCAATTTCGACGTTGAACCTCCCATTCTCGACTCACTCCAACTGGCTTACACGCGTGCACTACTATCCATGTATGTGCGCTCATGAAGCCTGAAAAAGCACGATACCTATATATGCTACAAGACGGCCACACCATATTACTAAAGTCAATATCCCTTAGTGCTTCCGATACGATGAGAGGTGGCTCACGAGTTGTCCTCGAAGCTAGATGAGAAGCAGGAGAAAACAGAAACTTGCATCTAACGTTCCGGCAACATCGCCTATAAACATTCTCTCACTCCTCAACTTTCCGTTCTGTAAACTGCTTTCCTTTGTTGATACAGTAGAGATATCCAGGACATTGGTTGAAGCATTGTCAATGTCAAGACTCAAGACCTATAGCAAATGATTCGAATGAATACTACGACGAAAATATTGCCTAAACCTATGTCTCCTTGACATCTATTTTGTGACACTAAATAAGTACTTGAGCGCTGCAACGAGGCTTGGAATAGAAACAAAAAAAAACAAATTTCCCATGCTCCCTGCGAGCACTAGACAACGGTTCTCGTCAACGAGCATTACACACTACTGCTAGTCGATATATGCACGCGCTCTTGGACTTGAAGCGATTGAGGTCATGCCGGTTGCTGCATCGGAGTCATCCACGAGTTTGGCATTATATTCCCGGACGTCAAGGATCAGCCGTGGTCCTAGCACGAACATTTGCACGACCTCCAAAATCTGCAACAAGCCCAACAAAGTCTGATCTTCTAGGGGATTTTGGCTCTATAGAAATGATAGATCGTGGTCACATGTAGAGATAAGTGAATGATTGACATACCGTTGATGATGCCGGAGAGAAATCAAGGATGAGGGCGAAACACGAAACAGCGACAAAGCTACCAAGTCCGACCCTTCAGTGGAAAAAAGGACAATAATCACAATATGAACTTACCTCGCAAAGTAAACCACGTGAGATTTAATCAACACCGTAAAACAGTCCCCGATAATCCCTCCTGCAGCATGTAATCGCAATTCACGGAAGTGTTTTACCGCGATCCAGACTGCGAGACATAGTGTGAGGACCTCCCAAACAATGGAGAGTATCCAAGCAACAGAATCCAGAACTAGGGAATCTCCTGAATGGCCAATGGTGCACTGGTAGGTGCCGGAGAGAATGAATTCCTCTGGTATCCATCAATGAGCCCTATGCACGTTCGTTTTCGTCCATAATTAAGCGTACCTCCTGAAGTATGCATCGTTGACATTAAGACTGTCACTCCACTAAAAGTGTTGATTGCCAGGAAGGTGACAACGAGAAATATCAGGATCTTTCTGGATCGTTGATACATGGCATGCAACCGAGTGATGATGATGACTTGCAGCATGTTTCAGTCATTCCAATATCACTGAGATCTCGCAAGTGCAAAGCTCACCCCACAGTATCGAAAATATCACAAAACCCATCCAATACCATATAGTGTACATCATCCAGCCTGACAAATCCGATCAGTAACCAGTCTCAGGTAGCACACACTCCAAACAGACTCACATCTTTGGTAGTACAGCGTGGCAGTTATTAGTGGACTGAGAAGTCAGCAAAGAACCACACTCACTGCTACAGAATACCACGGTTAATTTGAGGGGGATGCAGGCATTTATACAGAAGACTCACTGTATCTGTCAGCGAGATGGTCGGAACATAGCCTGACTGCCGTTGGTCAGAAGAAGAAAAGACAGTAGATGTACTAAGGAGACATACAAACTATGTACAGACTAATTATAAGAGATAGATGATTAGCACAACACCGAATGTTTAGCCTTCCGAACATACGCAGCAGATAGGATTCCAAGGTAGCGCACCTAGTATACTTTCAAGTCAGCACAAAATGGCAACTACGACAAACAAGCTACATACACTGAGATACATCACTGTCATGGGCGACCACCGTTGTCTCTGTAATTAAGTGTACTTTTATGTATGTTCCTCTGGCATGAGACTGTACTCACCCAGATCAATTCGACCTAAAAAAGGATTATCAGCGAGACGGGTTCCGGTGATGGTATTGACATACCTCTTGTCCAAATGTTAGTGCTGAAAAACACTTGTAAGATGTCAGCAGTTCTTTAATGTCATCATGCTCACCCCAATCATATGTTACTGCAACGAAGGCAGCAACTGCAAAACCGTAGCCAAGGTCAGATTCAGACATCAGCTTTAAGATCCGACTGCTTTCCACGAACCTACAAAATAGCTGGAAAAACGATACGCACTAATGGACGGCCACCAAGTGGGATCATTTGAAAATATGGCCATATTGTTAGAGAATGGGTGTGGGTGAGAGGGATCAGGCTGCGGTTGCGGTTCTTGTATTCTTTATATAGAAAATTGATGAACTTGTTCCCTGGAAGCTCTGTCTGCGGCTAGGTTGAGCTATGCCTATAGTGTTACATTATAACTCTTCGCAAGCAGACGAGTACGAGATTCAGAGGAGAAAGGAACGGTACAAGCTTGAGCTCAGTAGGTGTTGACGTGGACGCGACAATAGTAGATAGATTCCATCTTTGGCAGAAGCAGTGTTGGCACCACATGTGAACACATTAGTGGGACTCACGGTAGGTTTTGGGAAAATCGCTAAAGGTCGCTAAAGCCCGCTAAACTCGGATAAAGCTGGGCCGAGCGCCCACCCAACACGCGCAAGACATGCGGCACCCTTCGGCATGACGGCGGACTTCGAAATTATGCCTGCTTCTCGACCACCACGTCCTCGTCGCTCTGCGCGACTCAAAGCCTTGCACACTTACTCGCGGAAGGTCGTACCCACCATGGAACCCACCCAGCCACATACCACTCGTGGGAAAGGGAAAGCTCGAGGATCGCGAGTACGTTCGACCACTAGTACTTGTACTAGCGGTCAAGACCAAGTGCGCGCCCCCAAATTCAGTGTCCAGTGGCAAGCTGACCCTAGGCGCACCGAAAAAATCATGGAACATCTTCGCACACATCCTGCTGACTGTCGCGTCCTATTCTACTCTGACAATAAGTCGCACGCTGACGGTGATCGCCCCTCGGCCAAAGACAAGGTATCCATTTGCCAAATCATCGCAAAGTCTGTCTTTGAGAACGATCCCGAATATGCGAACTACTATCCCGACGATCCTGAAAGATTCCGTGACTCCACAAACAGCCATATCTCTGGGTGAGTGCCCTCCTATTTTTTTTTGTATGTATGTAAACTTATCTCCTTTACAGCCTGAGGAAAAAATATCGTGAATTCCACGATAAACTACATTCGACGGGCGCTGGCGTCACGCCACTTGATGAAACGACTGCAGCAAATTTGCACGGTACGTGCTTTGTTTAATTTAATTTTACTACTGACTATGTTCATAGCGCAAATCTTGGAGGAATTCTCCTGGTATGACGACCTCGCTGCTATCCTTGGGGGGAACCCAGCCCTGTCCCTCAAGACAATATCATCGGCCCCGGGGGTGGACCATGCGTCCAAATACTTTTCCCTCGTGCAGGTGAGCACTGCCGGTAGTGCGTCATCCTCTTCAAGCGCTCAATATGGGGGCTATGCGCCTAGCGCACAGCCCCCTCCTCCCAGTGCTCAGTTTGGGGGCTGGGCGCCTTGCGCCCAGCCCCCTCCTCTCAGTTCCCAGCCCCCTCATCTCAGTGCCCAGCCCCCTCCTCTCAGCGCTCAGCCTGCCCCCCATTCCAATGTCCTTGGCGCTAGCTATGGCAGCTACGTCCATCACCCTGGCCCTAGCGCCCTGCCTCACTATGCACCTAGCGCCCACCCTTCAGTGCCCACCCCCCATCACATCCAAACACCTGTCCCCCACTCTCATCCTGGCCAAGGCCAGCTCTTTTCCCCCCTCAATCACGAGGACGGGGGAATGGACTACGACGATGACGACGACGTGCGCATAACTGGGTCCCGTGTGACGGCTGATTACGGCGAGAACATCACGGACCTCAACAGCCCCCCCAGGTGCCAGTCCACCCACAAACGCCAGCTCCCCCCATCCACCCCATCGCCTTCTATCACCCCCCCTCCTCGTACCGAATTCAAACTCCCCGAGAAGCCGCAGACGATGCAGCACGATAGCCGCGCTGCCTTTGCCACCCCTGACCCTATGAGACGTGTGAGCGGGGGGTCGCTCAAGCCTCTGTCGGGGTCTTCGCGTTCGCGGTCGACACCGACATCGACACCGTCAGTCGCGATGTCGACGACTCCGACGTCACAGTCCACGGGCTCTGAGAAGGGGAAGGGTCGGCCGTCGAAGAAGGCGCGCTCGGACATCTTGAGCCAAGTTGGCGCCATCACCGACGAGATCGGGAGTATCAAGTTGGAGAAGTTGTCCCAGGTCTCTCGCGAGGAACTCAAGAACGATCGGTACATGGCCAAGCTCAATCTCACCCAGCAGGAAAACGAACACCGGTTCCTCCAAGCTGAGCGCCAGGACGAGCGCATGGATGCCGCCACTGTCCATCAACGTTCGCAAGAGGCGAAGGACACTGAGATCCGCCTCCGCGAAGCGGAGGCCAGGATGCACGAGTCGTTGGCGAAAGTGCATGCTGAGGAGGCAGCATTGCTGCGCCTCAAGATCCAGTACCGCCAGCTCACAGGTGGGCCTTGAAGGTTCGCGCGCTGTCACAATGTATGTCATCATTCCAATTTTAGTTATATTTGTGTGTCGCGTTGTATTTTGTCTTTCTAGTTCTGTTGTTTGACATTCCTGTAGCTACTCTTCTACCTATCATCATAGTATGTTGCCCTGTTGCCCCCTTCCCTCATGTCATGTATGTAGGTCTTGTTAATACTATATGTTGAACTTTATGTGCTGTGTGATTGATTGTGTGAGTTCCCTATCCTTCTCGGCGCTGTGCTCTCGACGCGGGGCTATCAAGTAGTAGGTCCATCAACTTCGCGCGGGAAGCCTGACCTGGTGTGCCATCATACAATCTGTCACCAACCACCTGGTTACCATCAGGGGCTTCAAACTCCTCATCTATCATGCCTCTGCCCTGCTGATGGGCCCATGCTACTGTACCAGTGTCCTCATTCCATCCTCGAGCTTCTTCTAGCCTAATGATCATGTTATGGAGTATTAGGCAGCATTGGATCCAATGAACGGCCATACGAAGGTCATTTTCTGAATGGATATTCCGTCGAAGGTCCCTAAGAGATTGAAAGCGTCCTTTGAGAGCTGCAAAGGCGTGTTCTACACGAACTCGGATCTAAATAAATTTTAAATCAGAAATTAACTGCAACAGAAAAAAATACAAACTGAAGAAAGGTGATAATTAAATGTCCTCTGATTGTTTGTGAGCCTGCCATTGCGGGGTTTCTTGAAAGGGGGGATGCACCAGGGCTCCAGAGGATATGCACTATCTGCCCAGACCCAGTGGTCGTCAGGAAGAAGTGTGGCGTGTTCTCGATAAAGGCGAGTGGCCCTGAAAGCATAGGCATCATGGACACTTCCAGGGTGACCAAGAGCGTAGTCGACTATAAGAAGATTATGGGGCATAATGATGGCCTATAACTTAATTTAATTACAAACAGGAGACAGACAGGAAGGAAACACACCTGACAGCCAAGGGAATATCTTGACTTCCTATCAAAAAAAACTTCACCGTGAAAACCAGGCTTCTGATACACATTAATTGTGGAGCCATCCACAGCTAGAATCCCATTCTGCCACTCAGGGCAAACAGTTTTGGCTGCATACTCCCGGGCGTGCTGGAAATCCTCTGAGTCAGGAGGAGGGAAACTCATGAATGCATCATGCTGATCAAGCAGTGCAACCATAACACGGTTCGTACAATTCACAACTGATCCAACACTAATACCTGCCCACTGGGCCACATCCTCCACCGTTATGGCATTACCGTAGTGGCCTGCGCGGTTGAGAAAAATGGCGAGCTGGATAGAGACGGGGAGTTGGGAATTGTGTGAGTGAAAGATGGGATGGTCAGAGATTAAATCCAGGATGTCATCGAAGATTTCAGGCTCGACACGTAGCTTCTGCCGAAAAAGGTGGGGACGATGTTCCCCAAAATGCACAAGGAGGTGCAGCTGACTGGCTCGTGGCATAGGCTCGTCAGGGCAGTGGAGTATACGTGCCTTTTCCACCTCATCCCGGAGAGCAGCAATCTGGTCTTGAAGGCGGTTATAACGAGCTGTAATACGATCAGCTTCATCGCTGGATGAGTCGAAGTCTGATTCAGAAAAGTCGGAAAGGAATGGTGAAATAGGTGAAGGAGGTGTGATAGCCATGATGCTCATGAAATCGCCAAGTTCCGAATCAGAAGAGGGGCTTGAGAGAGAGTCCGTACTAGAACAGGTATCTTGCACTACGTGCTCATAAGTGGCCCTGGCTACGGCAAGCGCAGCCATGTCAAGGTCATGCAGTATCTGTGCACGGTTGCTTGGACGAGGCATAGTGAGGTTCGAGGGATCAATTCCCCTATTTTTGCGCTGGCTGATATGATGTTGGTTACGGCGGAGTTTAAAAATTCGGGAATTTCCGGTCAAGTCCAGCTCACAGCCTAGGTCAAGCCTAGATGCACCTCATGACCTACATCCACGACGTCAACGACGACCACGGGTGCACCAGCTCCACAGATCTGTGCTATCCCTCGACGATCTGCCAAACGAATGTGTTCTACTTTCACCGTTCACACACGTTCTTATCCAGGCTCTCATTTGCAATCTCCTCCGGCACAAAGACTTTACTATCGCCGTCCTCACTCCACCTTGTTCTCCGTCTTCGTGGCGGTATGCAGATCTTCGTCAAGACCATCACGTTGGAGATGGAGTCATCAGACACCATCGACAACGTGAAGGCAAAGATCCAGTTCTCCGTGCTCTCGGCGTCATATCTTACGATCCACAGACTACTTCTTGCTGCTCTTGAACGGAGAGAGCTGGATGGTCCTCTACTCGCTGGTCTATTCCGCATGCTGTTCAAGAAGTTGACGAGGGATGTTTACCGTTATCTCCAGAAGGTACGTCACTCTGTCTAGTTGCACATTTCTCTATGCTTATTATTTCATAGTGTGTGGAGACGCACAAGGAGTTCAATCTCTCGCTAGCCGTCAAGCATCAAACAATTACCAACGGTCTCAATCACACTGGAGGTAAGTCATCCGGCACTCATCATCCTCCTTCACCCGGCACTCAGCCTCAGCTTCTTCCCCCCGGCACGCAACCTCAGCCTGCTCCCTCTGGCAGTGAGCCTTATTCAGCTCCCTCCGGTGCTCCCCACCTACGGCATGCACCCTAATCTCAGTGGACTTCGTTTATTTTCACAAATTTATTGATATACGTCAGTTCAAATACAAAGCGCCTTGGGGGGATCTACTTTATCACTACTCCTCACAAGTACATATCTCGGATTGCCTACTCTATCTAATTTACTCATTTTGTGTATCACAACCTTTGAAAATGCACAAGTGTCGTTTCTAACTCCGCTATTGTGCCGATGCGCGCCGAGTATTATGTAGCTTTTCAGCCGCTGTTTCCTGCAAACTCGACCCGAGTTTAGCGAGCTTTAGCGAGTTTCCCAAAAGCTACTGTGAGTCCCACTATTTTGTAACACGAATATCACTGATTTCTGGCTATGCTGTGGCGATGAATCAGTACTTGATTGACCTGAGAAGTAATGATATATATAGTGCTGGTGATGGTAAAGTCCCACTTTCGGTCCTTCGCTTCAAGCGGAGTTCATTAGTGACGCGATCACGTGCGTGTGGTAACCGGAACACGGCAAGTCCGGTAAGTACGGAATTGCAGTAATCTATGCTTTCGATGTGCGGTGGCTCTTCGAAAGTAAAGGACGATGAACAAGTTAATTGGTAGGAGAAGGAAGATACATGAATCTTGCAGTGGGTACTAATGAGTGGGAGAGATAGGTAGTTTGGGTAAAAGCCCGTAGGGCTTTTCGGCCCGGCGTATGCGTCTGGACCTAAGGGCTTCAGTGATGAGCTGTGATGGGCAGGAGGGTACCGATCAGGTTACCCTGCGTGAAGCTCGAAGCCTTTAGGAAGCTAAGACGCAGTACATCGGACAAAATGAAAGTGTATATACTGGTTTTGTTTGTATCCTGAGAGAGGGAGAGGTGGGCGGGTGCAAAGAAAGACAGAAAGATATAAAGAAGGCACTGAGAGATGACTACTAATGTAGTAATCAAAGACTCGAACTTCCGACGTGGGTCAGAACAACATCTAAACAGCCGAGTTGGTCGACGCTCGCTCTAAAGTGCTTTTGAGCATTTCATTTTTGGACTAGCTCAGGTTTGCGTTCGTAAAGCATACTTTTAGTTATATTACACCCTGAGCCAGTAATATCAGGCAATTTATGCAAAGATGCGTTATCAAGATTATCGAAAACAATCATTGTATTGATCTATGTTATCTACTCGTATAGTAAATCATCATCATCATCATCAGCCTCAATATTAGTGTGCATCTGCGATGGTCCAACTTCGAGCATATCAAGCTTAAAACTTTCCAGCGCCTTTTTATCTTCTCCATCAAGACCATCGAGGACGGCAATGACCTCAACAAATTTGTTGTAATGGACCAGACCTGTGAAGGGATCAATGGATGGCATCGGCATCCGTTGTTCCTGCAGTACACAGTAAACAGCCGCTACGGCAATCGCGATGATGTAGTTGATCTTCGTGAGGGGGGATTCGCCAAGGAAGGTTTCGTGTCGAAGATACCAAATGAACCGGATCATGATGTGCTTGATGAACGAATGGTCGAAATGACTGTGAACATGTATGTTACCATCCTAATTGAAAATTAGACATTTCGTTGCACCGAAAACAAATGCGCATACCGGATCAAAATGATGCGAGTGCATGACCGTCAACGAGCCTGTACGGGTAAGTGTCATAGCTATATGCACCCGGTATTGAGTTGGTGTCCGTTCCATATATCCACTCGGGCAGTATAGCTCGTACGCATGAGGTACACCGCTGCGAGCAATGTCGATAATTTTGCCACGTGCATTTGTAAGTGCTTGGGATACAGGACGATATTGTTCTTTAGTGACTAGGGAATTGAATGAAACTATAAAGCCTGTTAGCAGCATGTAATGGATGAATCTAATAAAAAAACTCACCGGTCAACGAGAAAATTCTTGGGACTGCATCTAAAATGGCTTTCTTGATGAGGTGTTTCCGATCTGCTGCAGTTTGCGACATCGCATACTTCGTGAAAAGCCAACCAACAACCCCATGTTTTGCCTTGCATATGATTTGTTGATGGACCTCTTTTGTAGGCGTAATGTCTTGAGGCTGTGATGACGATGACGGCTCCATCACAGAAGGCCCAGCGCACACTTCGATGGCGACAGGGCTTTGCGCATCAGAACTCACCAGAGTTCGTGGAACCGCATATGGTGTTGAGGGCATTGACACCTGCCGGGTCACACGTCGTACGGTCCTTGCAGGCCCTGTAGTCTAGAGTCAAATGTGTCAGCAGGGTGCATCCAACAAATGAATCGATACTCACATGCACTACATCGGATGAAGGTATCTCACCTCTCTGCATCGTTGTTAGATCAGTTGGCTTGTATGCCGGCACTAGATGTACTCCGCGATCTGGCGCATGCCCAGTCCATCACGACATGGGCAGGTCTGCATCTGTGTAGGGATCTGACCTCAAAGTGTCTGTCAGTGTCTGTCTACCTGGAATTGATGCTGTTAGCATTGAGGCATCATTGAGTGTGATCGGCGACCTACCAGCCTGACCATACAATGCGTCTATGTCAAAGTTGCCGTCATCCCCAAGGGTAAAGTGTGGCAGTATTGAACCAGCTTAAGTGTCGGGCGCGTCTTCGTCAGCATCGAGAGTCCGCAGTTTCATAATTCACTCACAATGTCTCCCTTGCCCACCTCCACCTCTATCATACGGATCGAACATATTGTCGGGCATTCATAGTCGTTCTGAGGGAATGTTGAGCTGATCGTTGGCTGGCTGTCCCGACGGATTAAGCCCTGATCCCCGAGATGGTTTTGGGACGGTAGCCTTGCTTTTGCGCTTGGTATTGGTACCACGTCCAGTACCTTGCATTTGGCGAGCAGAATTAGTAGAGGGGAACGAGCAAGTCAGATACGATTGTAGTAGGGGAAGGAAACAATCAAGTCATCGGTTATTGATGTAACAGACACTTTGATTCTGGTATGCAGGTAATAACACGTACAAACTGTACAAGCTGTACAAAACGAAAGATCATAAGTGACAGGAAAAATTAATGAAACAGCGAAACGGCAAAGAAGCAGGGCTATCTACTAGATATGAAATCAGCGTGGGAGATCAGCCGTCACATGCGCATGTACATACCACGTTTGGAGATCTTATCAGGCCTCGAGGTCCGAGAAATCATCTAAATCATCCTCATCTTCTATGACCGAGAGCACGTTTAAGGGCGATTTGCTGGTAGATTCACTTGTGGATGCCGAGAATATATCATCGGAATGTTTTCCTAAGATCTTTGAGACTTGTCGTGCCTGAGTAGATAGAGATCGGAGGATCTCGCATTCGTCATCGTAAACAGCTTGAAGGTAGTTGGTATTGTCTGCAACTTCTGTCAGGTTACGGGAAGAAAACCACTCTCTGTCACGAGTTCCAAATACAAACCATTATTTGTTCCTAAATTCTAAGTCCTTTAAGCGCCCAGTCACAGCGCCTGTTCCTAAGAATGTGTTTACTGTTGAAGAAGTTCCTATTATTGCGTCTATTGTAGAATTACCAGAGTCACGTGATCTATCAGACAATGCCAAAGATGTTGACGTCATGCCTCGCGACACTCTTGGAATGTTCCAGAGTCTTACTGCGGCTGCGGCACATGTTATGACATCATAGTTATATATAGAATCATACGATACCTTTAATTATTCTGATTGGTTAGTTAGTTCATACTCAGTTTCAATCTCAGTTTCAATATGTGTATATAGGTAGCTCATCGTAGTCAGTAGTTCTTTAGTTCAAACCTCTTGTATCTCCAAGTGAGCAATACCAAGACGTACCTGCTGCCTATCTTCTCTTTGTGATTATTCTGTTGTTTGAGTCCTAGTCTCTGCCCAGCGTTAATTCATTATTGGGTTGTGACACTCTCTCATTTTCTCCAACTTGGCATCCTCTAACCCCAGGAACCATTTACTCTCGACATGGAGTGCTTCAAGGAATGCTGTATAGCGCTCGGTGTAGAAACAACAATACAGAGAGGAACAAATGAGGCTCCTAGCTGTATCTATAAAAATGATGTAGGTCGAGTGTTGCCTAGTCTGCGTTACTTGAGGAGACAAGTGCGTTCGACCCTAAAGGGGAAGTGAGTGCAGCAAAGATCTAGAGGTATGCACTGAAGCGCAGCGCGAGAAAGCGCAGGTGCGCGCAAGGCGCGGGAACACGCGCGCGTATTAGCGCGAAGCGTGGGAAAGCGTGCGCGCGTGTGCGGAAATGATAGAGACTAAGCTTAAGTGATGATATAATGCAAGATAAGAGATGTGAGTGCGAGATGTAAAGGAATAGAGTTCTACTGCGACTTTCTAGGTAGTAAGTACTAGGTAAAGTGAGAGGTGAAGTGGTAGGAAAAAGTAAGTAGTGAAAAGGTCCCTCGTAATAGTATGTACTACTGGCGCTTATATAGTGCGCCTAAGCGCTGTAATGCGGAGCCGAAGCGCTACCGAGTAGGTATGTAAAGATATATATGAGTGAGAAACCATGATAAAAATAAAGGTGGAATGATATGCTAATAAAAGAAATGGAAATATACGCACTAGAGGGCTTGGTGGACAGTGGATGGATGCTTCTGGATGGCTGGCACTATAGGGCGCTCAAGTGCGGGAACGCGTGCGCACACATATACATCGCGAAGCACAGGAAGTGTGCGCGCATGGCGCGTGTTGCGCGGGAAAGCTGCGCCTTGTATAGGAATCGCTGCAGATAGCACACAGAATGATACTGCAAGTTTGTGCTGTATACTTCCTAGTGTAAAGTGCCATATCACACCATGAGAGGCATGATTCTCTACATTGGCCTCTTCAATCTCCCATGTTGTCGTCAACAGACGTTGGCGTGCAGTCTCACGGGAAGCCAGCTTCGCTTTGTATGCCTTGTACAGAGTTGCGAGGCTCAATTGTGACAAGCCTCTCTCTGCTAGTTGTTCATTCTTGCAATAATTAACATGAGAATGAATGAACGATTGTAAGAAAAAATACCTGTTCAGTTTCTTCGGGAGTGAATTCTGGTTGGCGTACCCTCCCTGTTACACGAGCTGCAAACTGAAGCTCTAGTGGAGCTGGGTGGAGAGGGTATGGCTGATGTTTCCTGGACATTCGTTCCCGCAGGTACTGTGCACGAGGGGAAGCACCTGGAGGTGGAGTATCAGAATGCCTAAAGAATAGGCTCTCTTTGCCATCTGGAGGGCTCGGCACTTCATCCATAAAGGGGAGAGAATGGTGTGACCCAGTTGGAGAAAGCACAGAGATCATCAATTCAGGGGATTTGTCTGAGTTTATCTGCTTGGACAGAACGTGAATTCTGGATGATGATATGCCTTTATATTTGGCGAGGTCATATGTTGATGATTCGACAAGAGTTCCACCACTAGAAGCTCCACTAGAATTAGAGGGACTGCTTGATTGAGGGGGGGAGCATGGAGGAGAGGATGTATTCATCATCCAGAAGTCGAGTATTACTGAGTACTTTGCTAATGATTCTGAGCGAATGCGCAGGTCAGCGGAGTTTCAAAGACTTGAAGATTATTTGCAGTGTGCTGCCAGAGTGTATACAACTTTATACCGCAAAGCAAAGCTTACAATGTGCGTACAATTTTTGCTCAACGAACAGACATACCTTCATACTTTGACAGGCTTTGTCCCAACTGTCAAGGAGCCTTTCCAACGATTGAATTAATCACAGCCCATCTCAATTCTCAGTCTACTTGCTGGCCATCCGATGCACGTCCACAAGAATTGCCTCTCCCTCCTGCATTTCGTCAAGGTAACCATCCGACTGGCTATATACCCGCTACTGGTCGTTGTCATCCACACTCTGGATACATTTTTGGAACTGGCAAAAACATGCTTGATAAGCTGGAAGACGACGAGTATGCATATTGGCGTAAGGAAAACACTTACTACCCTTTTCATGACGAAGCCGAATGGCAATTGGGGAAGTTCTTAGTCGAAAATCTTACTCAAACTCAGATCGCCAAGTTCTTGAAGCTGACATGGGTAACCATGAACTTAAGCTCCTACCTTCAAGTCTGATCCTATGCCCACAGTTTGACACTCGTGAAAGACCATCTTTCACTTCGAAGGATCAACTCATAGGCTGGATGGATACGCTACCCTGCTTCACGGAGTGGAAAGTCTCTCAAATCGCATTCACCGGTTACAAGACATCTCAGCCTATAGAGCTCATTTGGCGCAATGCGTTAGATGTGGTCAAGCAACTTTTCAGTGATCCAATTTTTGCTAATCATATGACATTTGACCCACATGTCGTCCAAGCTGGAGATCAGCACGAATATGGAGATTATATGAGCGCTGACATGGCATGGAAAATTCAGGTATATTTGCTGTCAGTCTACTGGTTGTAATTTGATGGATTTTCTAGGATCATCTTCCTATGGGCACAACTCAAGTCCCAATCATATTAGGTTCCGATAAAACTCCTGTAACACGAGTCACCGGTGGGCTCGAGATGCATCCGGTCTTCATCACCATCGGCAATATCGACTCCGAAGTTCGCTCTAAGGCAACGTTACGAGCTTGGCGCTGTGTAGGCTATATGCCCATTGTCAAGTTCAAAGTGCATCCGGACTATCAGACAATCCTACAGGCATGACTATGGCACAAATGTATGGATCTCATTTTAGCCAATCTCAAGGCCACAGCAGCAGAAGGCTGTTTCATGTCAGATCCCTTCCGATATATTCGTTATGTCTTTACACCTCTCATTGCTCATGTATGCGACCTGCCAGAGGCCAATATGATCGCTGCAACTAGTAAAAGTGCATCCCCTCTGACCATGGCAACACAAAAGGAATTCGGTGATGGCACACTCCACCCCCCTCGTACTGGCCGGCATATGCTACAACTCATTGTCGACATATCCAAAACAATTGATCCTTGGGACCTGGACAAATTCCAGAAAGTGGCTAAAGCTATCTATCTTTCCAGAGTTCATATGCCATTTTGGCGTGATTGGAAGTACGCCTGTCCGTCTGTCTTCCTTGCTGCTGAAATCCTCCATACTTGCCATAAGTTTTTCTTTGATCATCCACTCAATTGGGTCAAGGAGGCCAGTGGGCAAGCATGAGCTCAATGCCCGCTTCGCCATTCAGCATAAACGTGTTGGGACACGCCACTTTGCAAAAGGTGTCACCCACATTAAGCAAATGACCGGGCGTGAGCACAGAGATATCCAACGCACTATTGTCAGCGTCAATCGCAGGGGCCACTCCACCCAGATTCATTCGTGCAATTCATGCTCTCATAGACTTCATCTACCTCGCACAAAATCCAGTTCATTCACCTGACTCACTGAAGTCCATGGCACAGGCACTTGCGGATTTCCACTCCTTCAAGGATGCCATCGTTGATGCTGAGGCAAGGAGGGGGAAGAATGGTGCGAAAGAAGATTTTTTCATCCCTAAACTCGAGCTACTGCAAAGCTTTTGTGGGACGGTGGAGAGACTGGGCTCCCTGATGCAGTTTTCAGGCTGATGTGACGGAGCGCTTGCTCATCACACACTGTAAGGATCTGTTCAGTCGGACAAGTCGGCAAAGCAAAGATTTTGCATTGCAGTGTGTGCGGATCCTGAACCGGCAAGAAGCAATGGAGATCTTTGACCTGTTTGCGCTGTTGCATTCTCGCGGCGCATCACTAGTCAATGCTATACACGCCGAGGATGAAGATGTCATAACCACCAACCCTGCGCTCTCCTGGGTTTCCCGAGTTCTCCCTGACGAAGCGAAGTCCGTCCATGGTCCTCGACCTGTCCGCAACCACTTCCTCAAAGGCATTCTCTCTGGAGATGCACTCACCGCCTTTCAACTGAATGTAACGCTGGATTACAAATCTCTGTCCCCAGTTGAGATTCGCACAAAATACTCGCTCCCTGACTTTGATATCATGCTCACCGATTTCATGCATCGTTCATCCCAGTCCATGGGCGAGCATAGCCTCTGGGACGACAAATATGGGCGCCTCTCTACATGGAACAAATTCTGACTACAGCTTCACTCAGCATTCCAGCCACGAATCATAATGCCAAGCAGAGTGATACAAGCTTACCCACCTAGTGAGGATTTCCCCTTCAGCAACTGTGATACAGTTCTCATTGAAACCATGAGAGATGATGGCCAAACGAGTATGTATGTTTTTGTACTGGTTTTTAGTACTGATTTTATCACTTCTTCCAGGCAGTCGCGTCGCACAGGTCCGACTGGTTTTCCAGCCAATAATTCGACGAGGATCCAACTTAGACCTTCCAACATACCTTTCTACTCCGCTTCTTTACGTCCAATACTTCCACTTTATCGCCTCTCCTGACGAACAACCCGAACTTTCAATGTGGACCGTGGAGCGTTCATACGTTCAAGATAATACTGGTAATCGTTATAGGCAGGGCGCTGTGGTGCAAATTACAGACGTAACACACGCTATTGAACTCATACCATGTTTCGGCGAGAAAGTGGCCAGTGATATTTCGTCAGCCACTTGTTTGGAACGCCACGAGCGTTTCTTTTTGAACAACTTTGCGGACAAAGAGAGCTACCATACATTTAGTACTGAATTTGCATAGACCATGGCTAGATTAGCATGATCAATTGTATTGACTATTGCTATCGCATCTTATCACCGAAAGATAATCAGGCTTGAGTTTTATCAGCCAGATACTAGTGCGTTATATTGGTGTTCAGCATCTCCACCAATCGCATGAGTGCGCTACTGAAGTCGTAAGCGTTCGTAAGTGTCCGTAACGCGCGTAAGTTAAGCGTTCATTTCAGTGGTTTTGCAGATGAAGGTGCGTTACGCCACCTTACTAAACTCACGCGTAGACTAAATTCTGTGACAGCCGAGGCACGAGGCTGTCACAGAATGCCACTTGCGACCTCATTAATGCCACAAATTGTAGGTCACTGCAATTCCGAGTCAGCAGCTTGACTTGTACAACTACTCACGCAGAGGCAGATCCGGATCAACGACAGAATCATCCAACTTGAAGTTAGTTGCATGAAGAACATTTCTCCCGATCAGAACAACTCTTCATGATCACTGATCGTTTGAGATTCACGTGTTCAAGTCGACTCACTCAGACAGACTCGCACCCGCCTCTTAGTCGTTGAGTCACAGTTTTCGGTACTTGGTATGGGGTGATCGATTAATCACTGACACGAGGGTGAACGGAAGGGGATGTGCGGTGTCTTCGAAGGAGTTATCAGGGTCATTTTGAAGTCCGGAATCGAGGGTTCTCAACCTTAGCTCCTCGCGTTCGAGTTATCGCGCTCGATTCCTCAAAGATAGGCAAAATCTGGCACATCGACTGGGTATCTCATCGGACATTAAACATCGGCAGCCGCAAGAAGAGGGATCGAGGCAAGTCATATACATTTAGGTATTTTATATCCATTTTACGATAGCCTTAATAGGAGAACAGGCCGAGAAGACGGGCACACGCGCTGAGATCATAGTGAACAAAGAATGCACGCGACTCAGCTGCCAAATCATCAAAGACTATCGTGATAAATTGATAATCGTTGAGCAGCCGCTGCAGACAGACCTACCAAAGAATGTCTTCCTCCGCCTGGTCTGTGCAGAGTATAGGCGACTCCAGAAGATGTGGGTTTTGTGCACCGTTGTTGTTCGGACGACAATCAACTTATCATCATACTCGTGCATGATAACGATGGCTGAGCAGCATCGCCAGACGCAGATTTCTTCGTTATCAAGCGCCCTTCGCAGAGAACCTTCAGAAAACTCTTTCAATCTCGAACTCCTATACGCTGTTTCAATTCAGCGTTACGCATCGACCAATGTACCCTCAGGTATGCCAAGGCAAGTGACTGTTGAAATTTGTATCGTGTTGAAGGCTCAGCTTATTGCCTCTATTAAGAGAAAAATTCGAAAATTGATTATTCGTCATTTGGACCTATCCAAACTGTACGGAGATCTGCCTCAATCTCGCTTGGATTTTCTAAAACGCGAGGTGAGATATATTATTCCATTGTACTTTGACAAAGCGCGGTCATGTTCGAGTCTGAAATCCGGATTGCAGGTACTACTGGACGCAGAATTATCGTTCATGATACAATACGAAGACGGCTGGGCGGTTGATGTACTGGTTCGTAACCTGTATTTCCAACGTCTTAAATTGGTTGAAGAAAAGGTGATTTTGATCATCTTTTGAGGATTGCCAATGGATCGTGCTAACAAATGACAATCAGCTGAAATTGGCTCGGAAGACACAGGTTTGGATTTCCTATTCCACTGTAAAGTTTATTGCCCAACATATCCTACAGTGTCACTGTCGTCGAAAGCCGCTTCCCAGTTGTCCTTGCGTCTCTCCAGAACTCGGCCTGATAGGCAGACGTACCCGGTCTGCCTCGTCACGTATAGCTCTCCTATCCGCTCGCTTAGATTCAGCAACACCAAGTCTTCTTCATTTCCATTCAGCCATCGTCCGGGCTGGCCTCTGCACAGACGAACATCTACGTCAACTGTTTCGCATGACACCCAAATCGAGAGATAAATTCATTTCACAAGCACTAGGGAAGTCAACCTTATTTGAACGAGTTGCGGTCATGGACATTCTGGGACGGATGAACAACGAATTGTAGTTTGTAGATAATGAACTGGCATTCTGCGGGATAGTAAAGAACCTCAACGGTGGTGCCAACCCTCCCTCTTGTATCGTAGTGTATAAATGCCGCGCGCGCAAGCGAGGCTGTGGAAGTCGATTGACCGCACCTCGGAGGTGGAAAATGCGCCTGTCGTGTGAAGGGGCCTGGACAAAAAGACCGGCAGAGTTTGAGTGAGCCCTTGCAATGGCACGATCCTACCCTGAGCCGAACCATTTGTTTGTCGTAGCTGTTTTCCAAATTACGAGTCATTACATCTGTTGCAGGTGGAAGGATCAAGATCCTTGCTAAAGCTGAAAAATTCAGCGGCCAGAACCTATACATTTGAGCAAAAGAAACAAACCATACAACATCTAAATTATCAGATTACTGTCCTCACGACCTGCCGCAAAGGGCTCGAATCGAGAAATGCATCAGAAGCTTTCAAACTCCGATTCCTATTCACTAGTCACTTACCTATTAGTACTCACAGTATGCAGCCGCCCTTAAGCCGACCAAGTAACTCCCCGCTGAAAAATGGATCCAATAGCTTCGGTCGCTACTAACTCTCCCTGTGATCTCGACCTCCCGAGTCTACGTTCTTCCGCACCCAAGCTTCAGAGCCCCCGTCCTTACACTCCCACCATTTCCAGCCACAAGCCAAGCTCACCTCCTCCTGTACTGAGTTCATCGCATTCAATCTCACCTCCGAGCTCTCCCCGGTCAATCAGATTGACCGAGTCAGGTATTAAGAACTCATGATCATTTAGTGCATAAGACTTACATATAACAACGATAGACTCGGATGCAGAGTATGATCTTCCTGTGACACCAAGTTCTACGCATCCCTATCTCCCGTCACTGTCTCTCCAAGAGAAGTACCACTTTGAGACAATGTTGCTCAGACATATCTACGACGACAGCGACTCATTGGAACCTATGAGCCACGAGGTATGCCATACACCAAATTCATAATATTCATGACATGCATCATATTTTCTAGTCGAAGCAGACGTTTCTAAAATACGTAGAGGGAATGAGCGCTCACTCCTTCCGTTGTGTTGTCCATTACAAGGAGGCCGTTCGCGAGTTTCTTCGTATGGAATACTATGCGAAACAATGGCAGGTCGAAGTATCGAACAGGCTGGAGACTGTCTTGACATCATTGTCTTGTGATGCAGAGGGCAGGTTCCGTAGGGCAGAGAAAGAATCACAATGGTTACTCAATGTGTTACTCGACCGGGAGTCACTGTCTACTGCTCACGGAGATCCCGAAGCTCTTGTTGTCTCTTGCAATGAAAGCAGGAAGGCTATCCATAGTGTTGACGACGAGCTCAGTGTTTTAAAATGTCGAAAGGTGCAGGATGCCGACATATCGAATGCCATCTGAGCCCATGCATGGTAAGTAGATTTTATCAAGTGATAATTTACATCATTGACGTTCTTTTCAGAATAGATGTACCCAGCTATATGACCGATCTGAACTACCCTCGTGCCTCGTTTTTTGCGCTTTTTTGTACATTAGTGTCACAGTTTCATAAGTGAATCTTTTCCTATCGCAGACATCTTTGATTCAATTGAAATGTATTGAAAAGAAGCTGATTCCTGGGACCACTTTTACCCACCATCTACAATGCAACCTCCTGGTTACCATGAGGAGCCGTAAAATGGATGAATTAATGTAGTATTATACACAGAGCTACACCCGATAAAAGTCGGTATTTACGCATACTGTACAAAACTCAAGTCAGCGTCTCGAACCAATGCGATGAGCAAATGAACGACTCACTCTTGTAAAAGTACCCATAGTCATAAATGTTTCCTTCCTAGGAGCATCGTTCTTGTCCCGGTATAACGACTTGACCGCATCGCTCATGCCAGCCTTCCTCTTCGCCTCTTCCACAGCGAGACTCTGAGCAAGAGATCGCGACGCTGCAGATATCTTCGGGTTCGAACCTGGTGCCGGAGAAGGCGAATGACCCTCTGGGGATGCTTTCTTCTTCTTGGTACCGACCTCGTCAGCCACAGCATCTGCACCAGCCTTACGCTTCTTTGACTTCTTCACAGGCTCTAGTGAACGACGAAGTTCCATCGTAGCATACATACGTTCCTCCTCTTCCAAGGGTGGGTTTATCATAAAAATGTCAGACGACCTAGAGAATTTGGTCGCGCACTGTGGACAGACTTCTAGTTGTTCGTCCGCGGTAGTATTTCCGTTCGAAGGCGAAGAACCAAGGACGGTACGTAGACCAGATTGAGAGAAAACGCATCCACAAGTCAAGATGTAAACGAAAGGTTGTCCGCCGTTCATTTCCTTGAACGTCAGCGGGCACACGAACTTGGCGACATCAGCAGATGAATCAGGCGGAGGAGGTGGAGATATTTGTGTTAGTTTAAGGACTTTGATGTCCTAACGAGTGATAGGTCAGTTAAATGCTAATGGTGATACCAGAGCTATCACGTACCTTCAACGAACGTATATGTCCGCATATTTTCGCCGCATCTCCATAGGCGGTCTTATCAAGTAGATGTTCAATTATGGCATCCTTGTTATACAGTTTCCCAAGAGCACAAGACACGATAGGCTCTTGCAAGGGACGCTAGGAAGTCCATGAGAAGCATTCAGCCGCCGAAACAAAAGATGCTCACCTTTGAAAGAGCACAGAAAAACCATACAGCACGAGTCTGATTTGCCTTGTCTGCTTGTTCTGCCTTCTTTTTGCTCTTTACGAGGTCGCGTCTGTCGGGAATGCTGCCTCCATCATTCCCCATGTTGGTTGTAGCAGATCAAGTGTGATGAGTAAGCATCACGATCCAAGCTGTCAAACCTACAGCCAAGATTCCGCCACACAAGCTCCCTGCCCCTCCGGCAGCGCCATGCTGCAGGAACTCTCGCACATGGACCGTATCACTCAACTTCAAGATGAGATCCAACGCGTGGGCGCTCCATTCCCTTTTAACTCAATCAAAAAATTTAAGCAGCACGTTTCAGCTCCTGACAATCATGTCAAGCACTATCACCTACCTTACTGCCAGGTCTACGTTCCTGCAAGTCAGCGAGCGGATACCTATAACAAAGATTCGCAATCCGGATAAGTACGATGCCCCGGATTATTCGAAGGTGTGTGACTGGGCATGCGCGCAGTCGTGGTGATTAAACAACGTTTTAGCAAACATGAACGAGCTCGTTCAAGATCTTATCGTTAAGGCAAAACAAATCGAATATCTCATTCAGTCGTTACCGGTCCCTGAACCAGAACAGCAGCAGGTCAGGCGCACGCAGGTTTTGATACAGCTAAAATATAACTGTGGAACAGGCAAACCGACTTCAAGCACTGGAACAACAAACGCAAGACGCAAATGAAGAATATATCCAAGCGGTCGACCGTGCCAGTAAGCCATCATTTTCTCGCTGGTCTGCAAACAGTTTACCGCTACCTAGAGAACCTCCATCGAAAAATATCCGAATTTCTGAGGACCATGTTGGACAACGCTGATGGTCCGGTCGAATCCATCCGCTGATTTAGACCTGTCTCAGTGGACCAATTGCATGATACGACAGTGCCCAGACAGATTTTGAATACCGTTCGGCCAATAGTTCCATCTCATCGTCATCCAAAAAGGAAAGGTAGTGACAGAGCCGTGAAAACCGCTGGTGTATGATGTCGAGCTACGCTATCAACAAAGGAAAGTGTTCTTCCTTCTGATTCCTCGTGCATGTGCAGATGTTAAATGAGCCTCAAAAACAGACATGAGCGTTGAACGTTGAGCCACGATCGCCAACAAACGATGCACCTATATCACGTCGTTAGTACACATCATATGTCCCTACGCTACGTAAATATACAAATTGCGGTCCTCCTCATCTCGTCTCAAATACTCCTGCTCGACAAGCCCGTCAATCCGTTGCTTAATAACGCTCACGTCCGGCACAAAGTGACTCTTCACAGCATCAATCGTCTCATTCTTCAACTGCTCATGTGAAAGCTCCTTCTTTGCTTTCATAATCCGCACAATCGCTGCATCCAAATAGTGCTTCCGGTCTCCCTCGATGTGCGATTGAGTCCGTTGGTTTTCCTCGGCCTACAAGACAACCAACCGAATAAGAGGTGTAGATGCGCTTCATCACAAGAAGAGAAACCTACCGTCTCCTTCGCCTGAATAGAGTTGATGTGCACCTTCGCCCGCGGATCGGTGAACTCCGGATTAAAGTAAAAGACGTCGTTATCGTTCACGTCCTTCCCTACCGGACGCTTCTTCAACACCTTCTTGTTCGCGCATGCCAGACTCTGCAACGTCCTCTTCAGCTCCCCGTCGTCTATTTTAGAACTCACGTCAGTATCTCATAACAATCGTGAAAATTAACCGATACTTGCCCATACGCGTCTCCTCTAGGATGTACCTATACCCGATCTCTGTCTCCTTGTTGAAGAGAAGTAGCACAACAGCTTGGTATAAGCTGACTGTGAGGTCTTTAGGGCCAGCCGCAAACCGCGCCTTTACCGTAGCTGTCCCAAGCGAATGATCCCAATCGAGTTTATGCCCCTGATGTTTGATCTTGTAAAAAGTTGTGTAATGATTGAGATCTGCTTGCATCTAGTCATTGTCATGAGCTCATGCGGACACCGGAAACCGTATCGCTCACCGAAGAAGGCAAGTCCACATCTTTCTTTCGCGCAAGGAACGGCCAGACGCTGCGTTGCAATACCATGACAGAGAGTTTCTTTGCGGAGCTGTCATCCCTGATACGAGCGTGATACTCCCGCATGATATCTCGCGAAAGCGCAAGGTCGTTGAACATATGATCTCCCATCCCAAACTCTGGATCATATTCTACCCACCAATGATCAGCACGCGACTTCAAAAACAAAAGGTATCCTATCACATACTCTCTTTGAGTTTCTTGAGCATGGCCTTCTCAAAATCATCAGATGCACTGCGTTCCAGCAACAATCTCTTCGCTAGCGCCCGATGATAAAACGTCCTAAACACATCCTTATCATCCGTAAACCTATAGAGAGCAAGAGCAGCATCCAGCAATGCCTCAAACGCAGCATCCGATATGCCCCGCTGTCCGTGGCGCATGAGTCTATCGACATGCTTCGCAATCTGCTCGGCAGGCTTGTTGCGCCGCGCCTTGAACCCCTTGGTGAACGCATCGATCAGCCCGTAGGAAAAGTCTTGGTTGTTTTGCTTAGTGGAGGGATCGAGGAATGCTTCCTTCAGTGTCGTATCTGCAAAGGACTTGAACTCGAGGAGACGGTTGACCATCTCGTCGTCCTTGGATGCATCTTTCACGAGATCTTGAACTGTTTTCTAGAGCATGAATATATCAGCGCGAGTTTGGGGAAAGAGATGACGAGACACCCGCCTGGACATAAGCCTTGAACTCCCGGCAAAGCACGGGCAGGCCGTCTACCGATGAAAACAACGCATACGCTTTCTTCAAGTCAGCAGTGCCCTTGCATTCCATGAAGACTGCACAATGCAATGTCAGCACGACGACTCCATGAACTCAGGCATACTAACCTTCTTTAGCCATCCACTCTAGCCTCCCCTCAAACAGCGCCCGAATAGCGGCATCCTTTACAAGCGCAATCGTACCATCAAGCATCACATCCCTTGCTCTACCCTGCTCCTCATTCGTCCGCTGGTTGCAGTGCGCAAGGAATACCTTCGCCTTGGCTTTCTCGACCTCGACCATCTGATACGACTCTTTTGAGAAGTACTCCCGAGTCTGCTCGACGAAGTGTCGCTCGAAGATGGCATCGTAAACGTGGTGTGTGATGAGGTGGGAGACGAGCTCTTTAAGGAAGGGGCGGTGGATGTGTACCTGTCTGGTTGATGGGTGAGTGTTGTGTATAGGCAGACGAATGGAATGAACATCGAAGAACGTACCCTTCGTTCCTCTCCCATGTGACCCATGTGGAGATGCCTTTCTGAAGCTTTTCCACGATGAAATAACCGCTAAATATGCGCTCTCTGAAACGAGTGAATGCGAGGTCGCTGAAGTTCTGAGCGTCAGCACGTGCAAAGAGTTTTCATGAAGGAAAACTCACTGAATGGAAGGAAGACTAGGATTCTTGAGCACGTAAGCACGATCGAGGTAGGTAAGGAGTGATTCCAGCAGTGCCTTGACATGAATCCGTGAATCAATAACCTGGCAAATCCCCAAACTCATTGTATGTCACTCACCACTTGTCCCTCGAACCATGCACAAGTCTCGACGAAATGTCCGATCCACTCTACACCCTCCTTATTGGTCTTCTCAAGCTCTTCCGCCAGCCGATTGACGCATCTATGGATTTCGGCTTTCAACATCTCATACAACCCCTCGCCCCTCCCAGCAACACACACAACGCCTCGACATGCGGTGTAGACACCCTCATACGTCGTACTCAACTCATTAGATCCTTTCTCCAAGAGTGCCCTGATGCTGCGAGATAGCCGCACAAACAAGTTATCAGAAACCTTGTTCAGCGCAGATCCGATGATACCGCCTACAATGCCCACCATCTTGACATGAGCGCCACACCTCGAGAAAAAAATGGAATGCAAACCTGCAAAACCATGGACCTGAATACTTACTGGGCCACCTCTGTCGACATTCTTGCCTTTACCACTATCGCGCGACCTGGATGCAGAACCGGAGTCAGAGTCAGCGTCCAAGCGTGGGGTTTTGCGTGGATGAGATGCCGACTGATTATCAACGTCGACTACTGTGGACCGGTAAGCTGTAAATGCCTTGGATGTATCTGAAAATGTGAGCAAGCTGATCACATCGGTCATCTCGCAATTGATTCTAGTTTGAAAGTTACTTCGTCGGAAGGCTCATTATGTAAACTTGCTAATCGACGATAAGTGCTTAGTTAGTTATAACTTTTAGGGCTAGGGATGCGCGCCGACGCCTAGCCAGTCACATCTACTACACGTGTTGAATACACGGCGAGGCCATTTCTCAAACATAATTGAAATTACATATCAACCATACGGTACCAGGCGAAACTTCGAAATCCAAGCAGCATTCTCGACCTCCCTGCAATACACCGATGCCAAGATATCAATGCCATGGAGTATTCCCATACTACACACCACTATTAGTCGACACGGCTGTGCGCTCCTGGAATGCAATCGTAGCCATGGAAGTTTCTCCGTCCACAAGTCTAGTGCTATGTTCTCGAACGCTGAGGATGAGACGCGGTCCCAGCAAAAACATCTGCAAGAGCGAGAAAAGTAGCACAACCCCATGATAAAGCGCATCTTCCGCGGAAATTCCGTTCTGCACAATCGAGGAGCAGTCAGATGGATATGAGTCAGTAGCGGATGGACGCGCCTGTACATTTGGAGAGAGCAAGCTCATGTGGAGGGAAGCAACGGCAACAAAGCTAGGATGTGCAGAACTTCAGCGTTAAGACAATGAGTCGCTCATGTTACGAGCTCACCTTGCGAAGTAAAATACGTGACTTTTTATTAACACCGTGAAACAGTCCTCAATAGTCGATCCTGTCGATAGTCGTTCGCGGAAATGCTTGATAGCAATACGGACTGAAAGATACAACACAAGAGCTTCCCATACAGTGCCGAGTATCCAAGTGATGGCTAATAAAAGGAGGTTACCTCCCTCGGAACTGCACTGATAAGCACCAGAAAGGATGAGCTCCTCTGTTATTTGTCTTGTGAGTCTGACACTCTGAAATCCTTCATGCATTACCAAATCTTACCTGCTGTAATATGTATGCTTTGTATTACCGTGATTACTCCGCTGGTGATCGTCACGGTAAGGAAGAATACAACGAGAAAGATGAGCATTTTTCTCGATCGCTGATACATGGCATGCAACCGAGTAATCATGATTACTAGCATGATATTTCAGCAAAATTAATAGTATTAGTGATATATTGAAGCCGAGTAGCTCACCGCCCAGGATGATGTTTGCGATGGTAAATATCCACCATTGTTCGAAATCGAAAAAAATGCCTGAAAAAGACTATCAGCAATGAGCATTATAGGGGATTAAGTCCAATATTACAGCTGTTCAGATGTTACATTTGATCAAAAATATCGAGAATGTCACTCGCCCCTACATGAGAATCGTGAGTTGGACGATAATGGGACGCATTGCTCGGATTACTCACAGCATCTGTTACGTAGACTGTCGTGATACTTGCTACATGCCACAGTTCGGTATATGTACGAAGACACGAAGAGTCGGAGAGACACACCCGGTATATCGAGGCTGGTTACGAGAGATGGCTTATTAGTACAGTGCTAACATGTTGGCCTTGCAAACGTACACAGCATATATTATTCCACCATAGCGCAACTGGAATGTCGTAAGGTAAACGCACTTGCCAATTGTAACTTGGTAAGGTACGTACAACGAGATATAAGACACTCATGACAGAACAGCGTCGCTTCTATTTCGAGTTCATATCAGAAATCATCTAGTTGTCCTTAGACTTCTAACATAGTAGTACTGCGCACACCCAGACTAGTTCAACCTGGAAAACAGTCAGTGATGA